CTGTTGCTGTTGCTGTTGCTGTTGCTGTTGCTGTTGCTGTTGCTGTTGCTGTTGTCCAACAATAGACGCAACCTCAACCAAGCCTGTCCTCCACAACTCCACCCTGGTGAAGTTGTTTGGGGAAACCAAGATCACCATTGATAGTGCAATCTATGACACCAAGGACTTTGACCTCCCCATTGTTTGGAGAAAAGGGTACAGAACAACAATTTTGTCCTACTTCATTATACAGAGTTGTAGTATGTATTGAGTTTTCCGAACATGAAAACCAAGTGACTGAGTGCCATTAGTAGAACTGCTCCGGAATGGCCTCTAAGGTCTTTTCCTTTGGGGACAAGCTTGGTCATAGTGTCAGGGAGGTGTGCATGTGCCAGTGTCCTAACCAATAGGTTCACATTGGCTGACTTGTTTTGTGAGTGCAATTGGTTGGGTATTGATGAAGAGCTGGAGGAGTGACAGCAGGTCCTCCCTATCCTGGTGGAGGTTGTGTTTATGAGTTTTTTTTTAATTTTCGGGTGCAGAGAAATCAAAAAGCTGGAAAAGGTTTTCTGACAAAAAAGACCCTCAATATGCACATATAAATTATGAAGAAAGAAAACCCTTCTGACTAACAGATTCTCTGGTTCTGATTGGTGCTTTGGTAGCAGTAACAAGCAAGCAAAGCTTGCTGCTGAATGATACAAATGACTCATAACCTGTTAGAATTTGATAAGTCTTATTTCGGACTCATACTTGTGCTTCATTTGACTGATGAATATCAACAGGAGCGAATGGTAACCTAACATCCTCTTTCCCTGATGATACCATCCCAATTTGGAACTACGAGTACCATACTAATAATCCTCGTCTTGAGAAAATCCGGTCGTTCATTACTGATAATTTCAACGCCGATCAAAATGAAGGGCGAACCACAAACAGCGTTGCAGTGCAATAAAGATTCACAATCATGGCAGTTGCTATCGTCTTACGGAATATGGACTTTCATAGTCTTGCCGATTCATATAGGATACCGCGTCTATCTTGCGAATCGCATGCCGATCATGGATTGCGACGAGACCTTCAATTATTGGGAAGTTGTTCATTTTTTATTATTTCGAGACAATTCCTTTCAAACTTGGGAATATGCAAATGAATTCTCTTTAAGGACCTATGCATATTTGACACCAATAGCAGGGATAGCCCGAGTATATCTTGAAGGTCTGCGCAGTGGCATTTTTCCTTCCTGGTTATGGCCTCTATTGACCGAACAAATGTTCGATCCATCGCAGTCATTGAACATTGCTTTATTTGTTCTGTTGCGTTGCACACTTGGTGGTCTGATGGCATATGCCGAAGTTGATTTTTGTTGGTCAATTGTTGAGCAAGGTTTTGGTAGAAAAGATGGAGATAAACAAGAAGACAAAGTGAAAGGCGGGTGCGAAGGTGAAATCAAAACAGTCGTTGCTACAAAAAAAAGGTGGTATGTCCTTGTTGGGTGGGTCACCGAATGTTTGCTTATTTCATCAGCCGGAATGGCTCATTCAGCAGCTGCACTCTTGCCGTCTTCTACTCTGACTGCCATGTGGCTTTTGGCAGCATCTGCGTATATGAAAAAACAACACGTGCGCTTTTGCTTGTTCGCAATTTTGGCTACACTTGCTATCGGCTGGCCATTCGGTGTGCTGGTTTTAATTCCGCCTGGGATTGGAATTTTGGTTGAAGAACGAGAACGGTTGCTGACTTTTGTTCTTCTTCGAATAATCCCAATGACCATGGTGATACAAGGCTTGGTCATGTTCGTCGATTTCCAACATTACGGTCGCATCGTATCTCCTCTATGGAATATTTTACTTTACAATACGCAGGTTGGCGGAGACGAGCTTTATGGAGTGGAACCCTTGTCGTATTACGCGAAAAATCTTCTTCTAAATTTGAATTACGTTGCCCCGGTGGGTCTAGCAGGAATTTTCCCTTTGATTTGGTCTCTATTCCGATCTCGTTCTCTTTCTTTGACTTGGATAGCGGGTCTGAACCTGATGGTACCTCTCTACCTTTGGCTTGCCGTCGTAGCGCCCCGGCCTCACAAAGAGGAACGTTTTCTTTATCCTGTTTATCCTTCTTTTTGTTTGGGCGCTGCTATTGTCAGCGTGTCACTCATTGAAGGTATTGTAAACATCCCTTTGTGGCCAAAGTCACAGCAACAAGAACATAACCAAAAACGCCAATCAACGAGAAAGATTCAAATTAGTGCTATCGCTTTGGCAATTATATGGATTCCGGCTTGCGCAATATCATTGAGCAGAACCGCTGCCCTCTCGAAATACTATTCTGCTCCGCTGCATGTGTATGCCCAGATATCATCTGCAATTGCCGAGAAAAAAAAAACATCAACATTGGAAGAAACTGATCACACCAAAACATCGATAGATGTTGTTTGCACGTGTGGAGAATGGTATCGTTTCCCTTCTAGTTTCTTCATAAAATCAGAGTTATCAGAAATTCAATTTGGTTTCGCGCCATCAACTTTTGCAGGTCAGCTTCCACAACTCTTCACTGCAGAAGGCAGCGGGATTCCAAAAGCTACAACGAATCGATTCAACGACAAAAATGCCCCAGAGGCTGGATCATACACGCCCCTTGAAAGTTGTGATTTTCTAGTAGAACTCTCTACATCCTTACACTCCTGTGTAAATCAAAATCAAGACAAGCATGATAGTACGTCATGGAAACCAATGGTAGAAATGCCCTTTTTAGACGCAGAGGGCACGACAAGTACACTCCACCGTATATTATATATTCCTTATCTCCATCAACATGCCATCGAGACTGGAAAAGTTCGATACAGCAACTTCGCATTGTACACAAAACGATAGACGAGTTGGTATTGGCCTTGACAACAGTGCGTCAAACTGGTATGATACGCATGCTGCGAGATGAAAATTCTTTGTGGAACACTAAATATTACAAAAGGCTTTGTATGATGCATTTGGTCCAATTCTAGCAAGTGAATTCACTTTGGTGAAAATTTTCCTCGATTCGAATCGCAGATGGCCATATGATAGAAGATGATGAACAACATCTTCATGGCAATGCTTTTGTGCAATGGGTAAAGAATGGTTGAGGTTTCAAAAACATTACTTTTGCAATAAAACAGAGTGAACAATAGTTCATATGATTTCGATAAAGATACTAGTTTGATGCATTTGATCATACCACCTGTGTCAACTTCATGATTATCCTGTCCTCAACGAGAGCAACAAACAACAAACTAGACGAAACATGGGGAACGATTCGTTTCASACATCCTTCTATCTGGCTAATGTTGTCCAGGGGGTGTCACAACGAACTGCATCGGACACCCGTTACTTGGGATTGACATTTGTTATCATTGAAAAAAAATCGTCTGTGCCCTGTCGATGTCAAACTATATTTTCAAACATATGTCACAATTTGCCGCTAATGGAATTGGCAGAAAGCAAAAGTCGGGGTGCAATTGTGATTTACTAATGCATGTTTATTTTCCTGCTCGTTCTGCCAAGACCTTCTTCACAGCCTTCTGTTCTTCCAACAAAAACGCTCTCATGATTCGCTTCTTGACACAACCAGCACACGCAGAACCTCCGTAGGCACGCGAGACAGTTCGTTCTCTCTTCTTAAGGGATGCGTATTGGCTCGACTTGACGTGCTTAATTCCTTGTAGCGATGTTCCGCAGTCACTGCATTTAGGTCCATTCGTAGTCTTGTATACGCGTTGTGCTTTGAGCTTGCCGCCAGGGGTTCTGACAGGGCGAGCTCCGTGCTGCCGAGTGTTGTAGGAGTGACGTCCTACTCTGGTCCAACGTGAATCACCCATGATTATTCGTAATTAAGTAAGGAGAAGAATAAGACTGAAAGAAAAAGAAAAAGTCAAAAACGATGGTCACGGGTAAGCAGTAGTCATATTTTGTCGTATGAAAGTAGATCTCTCTATCCAATTTCTTTTATGATCGAGGGCGGTCCATTGGAGAGTGCAGTTCGTTTCACTAGGTACTCTACTGCGCTATCCTGATTCCCCTTGCTACAGAGCAGGAGGTCCATCATCGTCGATTGCCTTACCTGTCTTGACAAAAAATTATTGTACAGGATAGGCTGGGTACTCGTATGGGAGCAGTAGCGTCGCAGTTGGTAAAAAAACGCTTTGCTTAGAGAGCACTGAAACCTACAGTACTTCTACCAATTTAGTATGCGGTAGGAGGACGCACAAAATAACATCGCGCGAATAAACACGATAATTTTTTGTAGTAGAGGAGGTAAGTGTATGGTACTGCGCTTCTCGTAGGATCTACGGTATTGTCCGTCCCTCGTAGGTCAAACGAATTCATCAAAAAAATTGCTTTCATCAGCTCCAACTACGACTCATCCTCCTACACTACTGTAACTAACGAACTTAACAGATAGCATCTCTTCACGTTGTGCAACACTCGAAACCAATTAATTCAATTAGTTCAACTAAAACAATATCAAGATGGCAAAGTCAGGGTACGCAAAGGGAGCAAACAGTGGTCACGTCCTCACTGAGAGACCAAAGAAGGTCAAGCCTTCGCACCGAAAGGGGGTAAGTAACGCTCCTTCGACAGCGTCGAACACATTCGTCGTTTATCAGAGCAAGGCTCTTAATGTTGTCTGAAGACTGTTGAAGTGAACAAGTGTTGCTCACGCACTTTTTTCTTCCGTCAATAACCTACTCTCAGAGCGCAAGCAAGCGAACACTTTTGTGCAGAGAACTTGCTCGCGAGGTTGTTGGACTTGCACCATACGAGCGTCGAATTTTGGACATGATCAAGACTGGAGGATCTGCTGCCGACAAGCGCATTTACAAATTCGCCAAGAGACGTCTTGGTTCCCACAAGCGTGCGTTGGCGAAGAGAGAAGACATTAAGGAGTTGAATTCCAAGATGAGAGCCCGCGCAGCCGGTGCCAATTAAAGAAACCCCGTTATATTATAAACACCTCGAAACCTTGACAGTTTTTCTCCGTTCTGAAACGTGAAAGCATTTACAACAATCATCGTCCACCTAAGTCAAGTTCATCACGAGAGAATCTCAGATTGATCCAACGATTTTGAGGGAATGATAATATGTCCTTTCGAAATAATTTCTAGTCGTTTTCGTAGAACACTCATTTTTGTCGTCGTGTTTCCGGTCGTTTACGGGAACTCAGTGCAAGATTAGATGCCTTTCCATCAGCATATTTGTTCGGTAGACAAAGTTCGGAGCAATTACTTCAATACTCATCTAGGTAGAAATGTTTGTATAGAACTTGCTTCTACTTTTCTCTGAACATGTAAATGAAGGATTGCATCGGATTGGGAGATGTCATTTTGAATTCGATTGATAGTGTCAGATGAAATCACAATAATTATAGAGAGCAACTAAGTACGGGTCACTTTTGAGATATAACGCCTAAATGATACGAATCTTGAAAGAAAAGATAGGAGGTAGTTAACATTTCTCAGGCCCCGAAATTAAAGTCACATATTTTACCCTCAAAGACCGATGAAAGAGATAGCACTACCACAAATATGAATGGCCAAGGTCATTACTTTTTCAATAGTTGCATTGCTAGGACAGCGGTCAATACGACTGCACTATAAGCCTGCAGTCCAATGGTCCAAAAAGTACTGGTGCTTTCGTTGGGGTTGGTGTTTGTTTTCACAGAGTTTGGGGAGTGAAATTGTTCATATAATCTCATCAAATTGCGCAGAAGCATTGCCACAGTAACCTTTCCAACGAGAGGCACGTAAACAACACCAGGAATTTTGAGCAGTTCCTCTTCGTCAACATTTTTGAAAGACGCAACATTGACGACAGTAGTATTGGGGTTGATCCATTCGGTTGGAAGCTTATAATTTTTGGTGGGAACACCAGTGACCACAATCGAAGACTAATAATACCGCCAAAGGCCCCAAGACAAACAAGAAAAATCATAAATGCTGTGAGAAATATTACTAATAAAATCAAGTTATTGAAAAGTAATGAAACCACAGTGACTCGGTCGATCCATTCTTTCCACCTACCTTTCTCACGCAACTCTCTGGATTCACGTCATCTCCACAAGGATGCAACCGACCGTCCCGAAACATATAGATGCTATTGATATCAATTGAATATACAACAGCACCGTCGTTTGCCAGCATAGCTGCAAGTGGTCGTCCAACAATTTCGCTCCGATTGATGATAGTAACTGTTTTCCCTTCTAATTTACGACCCACCGGTTTCGTCATGTCATAAGTACCTGGGCACGCCTCTATAATTTTTAGAGTACTCAATGCCGTGCACGGAAGGAGACACTTTTGATTATTTGTCGGATAATCCAGGAATCTGACATTGCGGTATAAGTTGGTTCGGTATAAATGGCAAAGGCCCTCCACATCACATTTGTGGCTAACAGTGTCACGCAGGTAGTCATCCTGGGACTCTCCAGAAAAAGATTCCTGCTGTCCAAAAATTGGGTAGTAAACAATGATTCCGTGCACGCGGGGATCGTCGTTTGCATCAATCAATGCGGATTCAACTTCGATAGGATCATCTAGAATTCTTAATTCGTAACGTAATCCATCGGCACGGCAAGCCTTACCCGTCCATTCGGCATATTTCCGAGCAGCGGGGTCTTTATTTGCCAACAAACCCACTAGAAGAGGAGATTCTGAATTTGACAAAATGAGCAATTACTAATGAGAGAATAGCCACTCTGATTGAACCATTCGTGCGTACTTTGTAGGGAAAATAACTCAATCCAATAAAGCTGTGCACGCCTGAATAATTTTTGTTACGTGACCCGTAAATTCTGAAAGATAATCTATGGGTACCATTCCAAGGCATCAACTCACCAATCCCCTCTTTTTTCAAAGCCGCAACCTTTTGCTTGATTTCGTTCCGAAAGGGTTTAGAGACATCTCCCACATCCACCTTGACGCCCTTGGTAGGATCGGCCTTTATCACCGGCTTCGACTCTTGATTCGACATTATTGAAACCGTGTGTGTTGTATTTCTCGGTATTCTTCTATGATTGTGTATTAGTTTCGTCACTAAAATGCGTTGCTCGGTCGAAATGAAACTGCATTAAGATGCTGGCGCGATCAGATGCATCAGAGTGAATGTACGAGCACATAACGTTATGGTACCGTAACATTAATACTACAGGCACGATTAGTGCAAATTATTGATTGTCCTGTCATGATCGTTATTTTAGTGCCAGTATTTTTTGTTTCTAAAATCACAGCCATCACACACAGATATTTCATGAACGAGATACGAAAGTAGTGAAATGAATGACTGGCCACGAAAATTTGTAGACCTATTTCCACGAATAAAAAAGAAAAAGGCTGCTGCATGTCCAATTTGTCCAACCTTATACTTGTACTCGTACAAGTGCTACGGGCGAGATACAGTACCAAGTTTATCGGCAATAAAATTACACCTCGAGTTTTCCTAACACTGTTTGGAAGCTTTTCCCCAACGGACAACTGATCTAAGGCCATGCCTGAGCAGTTCTGCTAAATGTCAAAGTCAAAAAAGTTACCAAAAACTACTAGTTGTAGATCTATGTAGGATTCAGTACTAAGTACTGGGCTTCAAAATTAGTAGTACCCTCAATTTTAGTAGTAGTACTACTAGTAGTAGTACTAGTAGTAGTGATATTTTTTTGCCTGGAGTAGAATTACTTTTCCCATGTAGGGTGTGGTAGGTTCTTTACAGTTTACACACTCTATTGCTGATTAACTGATAGGTGCAAATTTGCACTTCAATGTACATCTTCAGTGTTTTACTTCCTCTGTCCAGACTAAACTGAGTGTCTAGTAATAAGCACATCCTAGTAGTACTAGTACTACTAGTACTGTTGAAATTGAAATAAGCTCAATATGTGGGCAATTGCAATGGTACTTTTTTGTATTTAACAGATCCTTCCTAGCAATACATAGCTATTTTATTTCTTGCTCCAAGTGATAAGATGTTGAGCACAAGATAAAGCTATTCAAACAGGGTTAATTTTCTTGGGGACATATGAATTTGATTTGTTTTCTACTACTGGGGCTGGTGTAGCACTCTTCCCCCAAGAAGTTCTGGTTCTTGTCAACATACTACTAGTAGTAGTGCCTCTTCTAGTTCAAAAGGTTAAAGATAACTTTAAGATTTGTTTATTTGTTTACTGGTGGTGCTGATTGAAAGGATGGTTGAGGATAACCCATCAACTTCTTGCAGCAATACTAGAAAGTCAATGCTGTAAAGTACACTGTCAAGCACCAAGAATTTTTTAATTTCAACATTCTTATGCACCAGCAGTCATACTGGATTATCACTACTGGAGGTGTCAAACATTGGTCTGGGCAAGTCATTTCATGTGGTTCTTCAATTTGGCTGGTGACCACGTGTGAAAAAATTGAGAATCAAGAAATTCAGAAAAAAGTGCACCATGCAGAGCACCAAAAAATAAGAGGCTCCCCTTGATACATTCATGTGCTCATTTCATTCTCAATTTCCTTTGACCTCCTGATTTAGTCTTCTTGCTCTTTCCATTCAACTGACAATTACTAAGACCAACCTCTTTTTCTTCAAGTCTTCTTTGCACCTCCTTACTTCAGTCAGTGCTACTACTAATAGGGGATCCATTGGGCCACATTGACTGATAGTAGGGGATCCATCTTGTCCTTGCTGTGTCTGTTGCATTGACAGATAGGGGATCCATTGCCTGCTACTGGACTTTGTTTTGGCTCTGTTGCTCTCAGCACCAGTATGAGATCCTTGACCCTCTTGAGATCCTTTTACCTCCATTTCTTCCACTGATAGGGCATCCTGCATCAACCAGTCCACTGTTATTGCTGTCCCTTCCCTCCACTGATACTAGGTGATCTTTGAACACCATCTTTGTTGCTTCCACTAATAGGGGATCCATTGGTTGGTGTGCTCTAGTAGTAACGCCTCCATTCCCTCATTCCCTAGACTGTTCAAAAAAAGATCTGTGTCCATTGCCTTCACTGAGAGTAGATCTGCATCTGTTGCTAGCAATGACAATGCAACTACTGATTGTAGGGGATCCACCAACTTGCTGCATCTCCACCACAACAATCAACCAGTTTCCTCCTTCTTGCTCACTAGTACTATTTTCAGCATTGGTCCTTTTCAAAGCAAACACCAACCACAACAAGATGATAACAGATACAACAAGGGAAATACTCCGTGAGCAACAGTAAAAGCAACAGGAACAGGAACAGGAACAGGAACAGGAACAGCCCTAGCCCCTGGACAGTAAGAACAACAACAACCCCAGCCCCCAGCAGTATTCAACCAAGACTTTTCCATTGAAGAACGATGCCTGGAGTATATGCTACATCATACTCAGTTGCAAAGAAGATTCCCCAGCATCTCCATGAAGTTCCACTATTTATGCTGGACCAGAACTATTTATGCTGGACCAGAAGCATCAGTGTTTCTGGTCAGGATGTTGTTGTTTCCAACATTGGTGTTGGACAGCAACAACAAGGCCTCCACAAGCTCGTCCTATTAAAGCAATTCTGCCAAGCTGATGCTGGTATGATCAGGTTCCTTCCTCTATCCCGGTTCTTTGGACCAGAATCAGCTTCTGGTCAGGATGTTGTTGTTTCCAACACTTGTGCTGGACAGCAACAACAACAACCCCAGCCCCCAGCAGTATTTAACCAAGTGAAGAGGCTTCTTCACAAACAGTTGCTCCTTTTGGTCTTTTGAGGAGCTGGTTTATTGAAAGAATTATGACTTTTTAAAATGACGACTCCAACACATGTGTTCTTGGTTGCCCACTGTGAGGGTGCTTGCCTTAACTGACTTGGCAGTGTGCTTGGCATCTGTTTGTTTCCTTGATCACTACAAGGTGACCTGCCTTATGGCTTGACAGTGCTCTTTGAAATGATAATGGCATCATTCTCATCCATACAAACTATGAACCCACTCTTGCTATGTATCCTGAGTCCAGCAACCTGCCTTAATTGGCTTGTCAGTATGTAAACAAGAAGAACTTGATTGCGCATCCACAAAACCTCCTCGGAGAGAGGTGCCGCCCCTTGGAGCAGCTAGGAGAATTCTTCTCCCTAGTCAGGAGAAGTTATGGTTCTGGCCATATAGTGCCTCTTCTAGTTCACAAGGTCAATTATAATATTAAGATTTTTTGGTAAGAGAACAATCTAAATCCTGCCAATGACACTCAAAAATTCAGTAAGTATTGTGATTAGCATTTGGACATTATTTCTAAAAAGAACTTAAAAACACTGATGTTATTCTGATAGTAGTGTTTTGCTAGATGAAGACTCTTGAAGTCTTTTTCTACTAGAGTAACAGAGAGGGTGTCAAACCATTCTGCGTCACAGTTGGCCAAGGTTCCAGTGGGAATAGTTACTGGGAATCCAATAGTTGTCATTCTTTTCTCAAAGATAAGAGGGTATTAGTATTCCAATCCCATGAAAGTCAACTGGCATGAGAAAAATGGAGGATATGGATAGTAGTACTGTCATTCTGGCAGGAACATTTATGTTCTTGTTGTTGTACTGGTGGTTGTGGGTGGTGCTTCTTTCAAGGAACAAGAAGAACAAGAGTTAGTAATAGAACTTGTTGTTGTTCTAGTACTACTACTACTAGCTAGTACTAGTAGGAGAGGAGTAGTGGTCTGTTTCTTGTAAGAACAAGAACATCTCCTCTCCTCATCTTTACATTTACACCAACACCAACAACAATAGTAGTACTAGTAGTAGTACTCAACATACACAACAAATCAATGAATATCAGAAACAAGAAGAACAACAAACAGTCACAGTGCTTTCATTGTTGATTACAGTAGCTTCTAAATTCTTTTCAGAATTTTTCAACTTGCTGGCACTAACTTAGTTTTTGAAAAGTAGTATTGGTAACTATTTCGGCGAGCCAATTTTTCTCAAGGGACAACCTTCGATAGATCCCTTGTTGAGAGAAAGATGAGTTTGATGAGTTCTGTTATTATTTTACTGGCTGTCGCGTTATCCGTCCGCTCGTCGATAACGTTACATCCGCATTATTAGTAGTAGTATTTATTTGTACCGGTAGACAGCTGGAAGATGATCGTAAAGTTCAAGCAACAACATTCTTTCAGGATGCCTATTCCAAGACTATGATCAAAACGCGACTAATGGCTGTTTTTTAACCTATCAATCACTTTCGAGCAGTCATACTTGCATCACTTTTTAGTCATTTATTCATGATATTATTTATCTTTGTTCTGGCGACTCCTGACACCCTGGGCTGAAACTACAGTACGTACCGTACAGGGCATCGCAAAACCACCCGTATTGTAACGTACGAGCACTACCCATTTTTTTTCAAGAATGCTACCGTACAGTACCCGTACTTAGTACGTCCCGGTAAAAAAGTACCGGTACTATCAGAATCATGCTCATGATGTTCTGTACGAAAACGAAGGCAGGATGACGATTAACAACTACCTCGTAATAATTTGAGTGATTGCTCTTGACAAAGGAAACTTCTTGCGGAGTTTTGTGTCACCTGCAAAACATTCTCTGAGTCAACCAGCGCTTCTCAAATCAATTAGTTGTCTCATAATCAGAAACAACAATCTGGAGCACAATTGAATATTAAGATAATAGGAGAAGAAAGGGAAGTTGTAGATTATATCGATCGAAGAAGACGACAACAAAGACGGCACTTATCATGTCAATGCTGACACCGCACATGCCTTCAAACATGCCTGGAGCTTATAGTGGACTATCTGCATTGATCCAAGCGGCTACAAGTCAGCTTGGTGATTTCACAGAAATTGATAACTCCGAAACGAGCGCACTTCTTGAGTCACCTCCGATGCTTTCGAATCCAACAACTCCAACATTTGAGGGTCGACAGCTTCTGGAGCTTAACGTAACATCATCGTCGTCATGGCGACGAGGGGAATCTACAATAGCCACCGTGACTCCACTGGTGTCGTGTGTTCGACATCAAGAACCGGAAGGTACGTCGAAGTGTTGCTTCCCAGAGGTGCTGATGCTTCTGTTATCGAACCCAATCTACGCAGATGTTGTTACGTTCCTGCCTGATGGCAAATATTTTGCCATACGAAGAGAGGAATTTACAAATCAGCTCCTATCCAAGCATTTCGGGCTAACATGCTTCGGAGATTTCCTCGAGGTAGCAAAGGATTGGGGATTTATTAGGGTCAATGGTAAGATAAACGAAGGCGATGACAATGCTGGTGATAGGAACAGTAGCATGAACAATAATGGCAATAACAGCGATGCCAACGAGTGTACCAATATCACGGCAAAAATTAACAGTAGCAAAGCAGAAATTTACGTCTTTCGACGTTTCCATTTCGAGCAGAATCAACCTGTAGACACAAACAAGGTCAGATTCAAGAATGGAGATGTTCAAAATTGTCAACAACTACATGGTTCTTCCATAGATGACAAAGACACACCAAAACTATCGAAGAAAATATCTCGCAATGGAAAGAAGAGCAAGGAAAAACGAAAGCTATCTTCTTCCCCTACAAATGGGGAGTCTCAAAATAGTGCCCAAAGGTTAAGAGCAAACTCGAAGACAAATTCAGATGGTATAAATCCAATCCCCCTTTCAGCTGGATCTTGCGACCGACCGATCCACCAACTGAGGCGTCGGTCTTCGTTGGAGCTATGGGGTATGGCACAAGCCATCACTTCGTCTAAAATATGTACGAGAAACGGAAGCGAAAGGGTCAAAATTGATGTTATCAGCAATATGCGGCATTCTTCAGTGATAAAGAAGTCTAATACCAGCTCCTATCCGAAAGCACCGGATCCTATTATGCCGCCGCAACTAGAACGGCAGTCTACTGGATCATCTCTCGTAGATGGAGGAGTAGAGACTGCCACGCATACTATCGTCACCGATGCTATTGAGGCCTTATTGTTCGACGAGAATCACACCAGAGAAACTTACAATAGGCACGAGAAGGAGTTGTCTACATCCTCTCTACCAGGTGTAGTACCGATTAGCAAGCAACTGTTTTCTGCAAGCGACAACAATGGCGTCAGCAGCGGCACACTAAACATGGACAATAATGAAAAATGCAAGACTATGAAAAAAATTCCCAAGAGTCGAGGGAAGGTAGCAACTACAAAACCAAAACCAGATTCGTCATCCTCGTGGCCGATGTATAGCTCAATTGAAAGTCTCGAAGATGCGTCGAAGAAGAATGCCAATGTAGACCCATCTTCACCCTCATTTTTGAATTGTGGGAGTCTTCGAGTTGTAATTCCAAAGGATGGTTGTGAATACCGACAGCAGCACAAATCCATTTATGGATCTATGGTAGTAAGTCCTGCTAGGATGGAAGCTGCAGCTGCTCTTGTGAGTCAATCAAGGATTAAAAACAGCGAAGATGTAATTTGAAGTGGAAAGAATTGTCTAGTAAAACTACGATAATCGTGAACTGACGAAAGCTTATAGTTCAGCCTAGCGCTCTTACATTTCGTTCCAAGCGAAGCAAGTGTTGGAGGAACTTTTGGTTGAAATATTGGGATAGCTCACATTGATTTCCAGGCTCAGATAAGGAACTTTGAAGTTTCTAGTAGTAGATGTAATTACTCTTTTTACATTGAAAATTTAGTGCTACCTCTCTAGCTTTTTCTTTCATTGTCATCTTCGTCGTCTTCGATATCGGGAAGCCAATTTCCAAACGTATCTTCAAAATTTTGTTGGGCTTTGTCTCCCTGTTCATCGAAGAAGCCCTTGTCCGTATCAAAATCATAGGCAGGAATGAACCGAGCCGTTGTCCGTGGTGTCTTTGTCATGTCCTTGGCTTTCCCATCCCCCCACTTTTTACTAGCGCCTTCGCTGAATAAGTCCAAATCCGAATTCATAAATTGATACATATTTAATACTTTTTCAAGTTCTCCCAGGTCGGGCCCCTCTATTCTAGCCACTCGGTTTCCTTGGTAAAATATATCGGTTGTTGGCCTAATGGACAGACAAAAAACAGAAATGGCCGTTAATTTGTGCAAGTTGTGATTTGTTAGTTGCCCGTTTCTTGTGTCAGTATTCTGCGAAACGAACGACCGACGAAATTTCTTGTTCAATAACTGAGAGATTGATGGGTAGCGTGGAGAACTTCAAGAATTGTATGCCTGGTCAAAAGTTTGCAGGAATATCTCACAAGGTCTATCAGCCTACCATTCACTCACAAAATTCATTGACGAACACATCATACTCACCAACTTCGAACGTTGACCTGTTCCAGCAGTAAATCGGCATCTTCGTACTCTTCCATGCATCTCATAAATATGCTTGCGGGATTGTTTCTTGCGAATCGCTCGAATTCAGCCTCGGTGGCGCGGCATTCAGCACGACTTGCGGAAGAGAATTTAACCACTACCACAATTCCATCAGGTCTCTCTGGGATAGGTTGGCTAGCCAATTGTACAATTTGTTCCAATTCCTCGATCAAGCTCAGTTCTTTGACCATGTAAGATCCCGACGCTTCTCCGTAGTATTCTCCCTGCGCGTCGCCTACCATATTTAGCTTGGACTCTTGCTGCCAGCGTGGGTGGAGACGAAAGTATGTATCTTTTCGAGTGTCAGCAGTAGCGGCAGTTGTCAACGCAGAACAGCCACAACTGATGGAGACATCGTCGTTGAGTAATGTCAGACTTATACCACAACAGGCAAAAAAGAGTTGCCAGATGGCACAACGAACTCCTTTGGTGGATACCATATCCATGATCGGAACGCTGATACGAGTCGCTGATACGAGTCGCTGATACGGAGGACGCTGATACGATACTGAGGAGCCGGTGACTGAATAAGAGGACGCTGATATTGAGGAGATGCTGATACGATACGGAGGAGCTGATACGATAAGGAGCCAGGAGCCGCTGATATGATACGATCTGATACGTTAGTAGGATTAGTAGGATACTGTGATTTCTACTGTATTTTCTACATGAGTTCGTTAGTACTGGTAGTTCCAAATACATTTTCTTTTTCGTACGAGTTTAATCGGAGTAAAATGCGTTAACAGTATGAACCCTACCACGTCCTACAGAGCAAAAAGGCATCCTACTCAAACACCAAAAATTATTACTAGTAGCATAACGGTTAATTTTTTGCAACGGATAGGTACGTACTGTATTGAAAGGATACGTACGTACTGGAAAGGAAGCATACGTACAATACGATGCTCCCTCTGAATGGATGGATATACCATTCCTACCTACGTATCATAATATACTATTCATACATATACATCATACGATCATCATGTTGATGATCGTGAGAGGTCTAAGATACTATTCGAGAATACCTCACGAAGAATAGAATAGAGAACCTCCATGTAGATTTCCTACCAGGTCTACATGAGGATCTAATTGGAACTTCGGAATTCTCGTGAACGCGCTCGGTAATCTTAATCTTATAATTCAATTTTCATACACACTTAAATGAATACATGTAATCTCGTGCACAGTAATTACTAAGTGATTTTTCGTGTATCGAAATTAATCAACCCTTAAGAAAAACAACCAAAAATACCACATCGACCATGGTGAAATCAACCAACTCCACTCGGACTCGATCATGCCTCACCCTCGATGATAGATTCAAAGAGAGTGATATCAAAGAAATCAACCTCTTTGTGGACCATCTGGCAAGGACAGAGACCTCCGGCAGAGGATCCAATCTAAGGACATTTCCAAGTTCCCGCTGTAAGATTGAAAAGAAGCTGCCCAGTCTTCACTGGGAAGTATGGAGTGCAAGAGTTATTCTACGTACAAGAAGGATTTGAAGATGCCATACACGATTTGGAGATAGCAGATGGACAGATAAACAAGAAATGGATAATGGTACTGGCCCATCGACCGAGACAGAATTGGAACAACATGTGGGAAGGTCCAGACAGATTRAGAATTGGGAGAGACACCAAAGAGCAGTGGAAACAGGCCCTTGCATCGTTTAGAGAATTTTATGCACCATCAAAGAGAGCAAGAGATGAGGTRATTGCGTACTTGGAATCAGATGCAGTAAAGAAACCCCACAATGTCACATGTCAAGAACATGCTGAGAAGGTCGTTGTTTGTTGTAACAGAGCCAACATTCTTCATGGTATCAAGGGTCCCTTATCTGAACGAGAAATCAAAGAGATCCTCTTCAATTCCTTCCCTAAGGCTTGGCAAGATAAATACATTAGCTGTGGTAAGGATATCCTCGACAATACACAAACAGGGATAACCAAATTCATGACAGAGCAAAAAGGACTTGCCGACGACAGTGAGGACAGAAAACAAACAAGAAAAAGATCGGCAGATGATAACAGTGCAGGACAAGGAKGAAGGAATGGGAAACAGAGGAAGCGCACCAACAGTAACAATAATAGGAATAACAGACAGAATGAGACCCCAGAAGAAAGACAGAATAGGCTCAATGTACAGCCTTGTAGGAAGCACAAGGGACAACATCTTTGGGGCGAGTGTCGATTCAATAAGAATGGTTATAATCGAAACAACAATAACAACAATGGAGGAAATCAAAGCAACCAGGGAAATTATGGAGGAAACCAGAGAAACCAGGGCAACTCAAATGCAAGCAACAGCAGTAAGAGGTTCACTCCAGGATTGTATTATATGGATGAACATGGAAACATGAAACCACAGTCGATGCAGATCCAAACTCAGAATTATCATGGCTCCAACTCCAGTGGTCCTCCAAGCCACGTATCACTACAGTCCAACAGCAATCCGGGCTCGACAATTCAATTCCAAGGACAAGGACAAGGACCAAATCAACAGTGGTGACATTCAAGCAAGGCTAACTTTGCATTGCCTCCACCACCATTCACTCCATCACCAACACATAGCCTTGAGCTTTACGACCATGATAATGATGAAGCTCTCAAGAATCCAACAGCAGTCACCTTGAGAGCTCTGAAAACGCCACCGGATGTGCAGGATGTACTACCAACAGTCATTCTAGTATGCAAAGCCATCCAAGGCTTACCGACAATGAATACATTCAAGGTTCTATTAGATAGTGGGAGTACAATGTGCCTTATTCACAAGTGTTGCCTTCCACCAGGAACAGTTCCTTTCCAAGACCAACTCAACTCAGTCACGACCACAGCCCAAGGAAGCTTCGACACTTCTAAGTATGTCTTCATTTCCAACATTCAGCTCCCTGAGTTTGGCAACGGCAAATGTACTAGAGGAATCAATGCAAGGCTCTTTTCAGCCCCTTGCAAATATGACATGATTCTAGGAACGGACTTTCTATTGATGACTGGAATAGACCTCTTCTATTCTACACACACCATCAGATGGTTGGGATCAACCATTGACATGAARCCHACAGATCATTTCAATGATCCCCAGCAAATAGCAGAAGCTATGTKGCTGGCAGAGGATGATGAACTCTTAGATGGAGGTTTCTTCAAGTTTCATCTGCTCCCTCCAAGCAGCTGCCAACCACAAAGTTGCAGACGTGCAACTGGTTCGGMCAGTTATTTAGCAGCAGATGCTGCCAGGGCTCCTGTAGAAACAGAACCCAACAGAATCCTGGACGCGCAGTACCAGAAGGTGACTCCAGARCAGGTTGCAGACCAGCAAGAGCACATGAATGATTCAGAAAGACTAGCATTCACAGAGATGCTAGCCAAACACACGGAGCTGTTTGATGGCAAATTAGGCAGATATCCGCATGAAAAGATCCACATCAATCTCGAAGATGATGCCGAACCAGTTTACATAAGACCATACCCAGTTCCCTATCGACACGAGGATGTCTTCAAACAGGAATGCCAGCATCTAGTTGATGAAGGAGTGATTGCTCCCACTGGTAATTCAGAATGGGGCTTCCCAGCCTTTATCATTCCAAAGAAGGACGGCTGAGTTCAATGGCTCGTCGATCTGAGAGAATTAAACAAGAGGATCAAGAGACCTCRGTTCAATCTCCCCAAAATCCAAGACATCATGAACCAAAGAACACAATACGACCATTTCACTAAGATTGATCTCTCAATGATGTTCTATTGCTTTGAATTGGATGAAGAGAGCCAAAAGATTTGCACTCTCACTACTACACATGGCAATTACAGATGCCTACGGTTGCCGATGGGACTTAAATCATCTCCGGACTATGCCCAGGCCTTTATCACTAAGATCCTACACGGATTGGATGTTGAGGTCTATATTGATGATATGGGGATTTGGTCCCAAGGACCATTTGGCAAACACCTGTCTTTAGTTGACCCAGTCCTACAGCGGTTAGCATCCAATGGCATGAAATGCAGGCAGTGAGGGAGTCTGATTTCCTTGGCTATTGGCTCACCCCTACAGGAGTCAAGCCTTGGTAAAAGAAAGTAGATGGGATCCTAAAGATGGGCATCCCTCGAAACCAATCGCAGGTCCGGTCTTTCCTTGGTGCAGTGAACTACTACAAATCCATGTGGCCGCGCCGATCACATGTACTCGCCCCACTAACGGCTCTCACAGGCTCAGGACCTTACACATGGACGCCTGCATGTAATCACGCCTTTCAGGAGATGAAGGCTCTCCTTGCCCATGATGCTATCAACACCTTTGCGGACCTGGAAGAGCCCTTTCATATTTTCACTGATGCGTCTGATTATCAATTGGGAGCGGCAATATTACAGAATGACAGACCAATTKCATATTGGTCTAAGAAGCTCAACAAAACCCAAATGAACTACACCGCAATGGAAAAAGAGCTCTTAGCTATCATCCTGTGCCTCAAAGAGTATCGCAATATGCTCTACAGTGGCAAAATCTTCATTTACACTGATCATAAGAATCTCATCTTCCGGACCCTGTCTCAGTCCCAGGTTCTCAGATGGAAACTAAGCCTCGAAGGTTTTGATATTAAATGGGAATATATCCCAGGCAAGAAGAATGTTCTTGTAGATTGTTTCTCTCGAGTGCCCAGAATGGATCCGTGCACTGTCTGGGATAAAGAAAAGAAAATTTATGAAAAGAAGAAAGGAACTATGGTGAATTTCAAGGAGTTGGCAGCTCAAGTGGACTCAGAAGATGTATTCTACTTGGAACCAGAGCTACATGAGTGTTTGCTCAATTTACCACCAGTATCAGAAATGGAGAACCCAATCACAAATACAAGCCTCTACACTTATCAACTCACAGACCCCCAGTGCCAATATCTGCTTGAAACTGACCCAGAGCACTACATCAAGAGAAGGATAGGCACCTTTGAGCTGCTCACAGTGACATTTGATAACAACTGGAAAATCTACTTGCCAGATGGCCTCGTAGACAAGACYTTAAGATGGTACCACCTCCTATTGGGACACTGCGGAAGCACAAGGCTTTATGAAACCATCAGTGCCAGATTTTATGCCCCAAGACTCAGTTTACGGTGCAAACAATAC